CCCTACTGGGGACCTGGCCTGCAACTCAGGCATGTGCCCTGACTGGGAATCCAACTGGCAACCCTTTGGTTCATAGTCAGGGGCTCAATCCGCTGAGCCACACCAGCCAGGGAATCATCCCCTGTTCTCTCCTCTATCTCCTCACCCCTCTCCCAACTTTCCTCGGCCCTTCTCTTTCTCTTTCTTTCCTCTTCTCCTTTCTGATGCCCCCCACCCAACCCCCGTCTCTCTGCCCCTCATCCCCCACCCTACCCTTGCCCTGATCTTTGCATGTGGTAGATGTGGCAGTTCTGAGTTCCTGGGCCTCTCCTACTAGGGCACCTGTGAACCTCATTCCTGGGCAGGCCACCTCCCAGTGTGGCAGAGCAGGGGGCCTGGGGACCCTGTATGGACATGGGTGGGGTTCAGGAGGCTTCGCACACAGGTGTTTTGCGTTGCACTGGCTCTGGCTAATGCCTATGTGCTCTCAGATGGCACCACTTTCACTTGGGACACTTCTGGCCATCATGCCCCGTTGCTGAACTTAGGTAGAGGGGTGGTGGAGCTGGAGGGCACCTGGCTCTACTGTGTGCTGAGAGGCAAGGGTATCCCTCTGACTCATCTGGGACTCTCCCTACTTCTTATCCCTCTCCCACAGGTAAGCAGTCCTTTGATTTGCTTCTGACATGCCTCCTCAGACTTCCCCCCTCTCTGTGGTTCCAACCTTCCTCAGCTCTTGGTTGGACTGTGGCGGTGTTGTCCCAGCTGTCTTCCAGGCCACGCGGCATTCATTCTGCCTCATTTCAATGAAAGCCCAACGCCAAGATAGTTCACTCACTGCTCCCCATTGCCTTTATTTTTTTAAATTTATTTTTATTACCATTTTTATTTATATATATTTTATTGATTATGCTATTACAGTTGTCCCATTTTTTCTCTCCTTTATTACCCTCTACCCTGCACTGCCCCTCCCCCCAGCATTACCCCCTTCCCTTAGTTCATGTCCATGGGTCATGCATGTAAGTTCTTTGGCTTCTCCATTTTCTATACTGTTCTTAACCTCCCCCTGCCTGTTTTGTACCTACTATCCATGCTCCTTATTCCCTATACCTTTCCCCCCATTCTCCCCCTCCCCATCCCCTCTGATCTCCATTTCTGTGAATCTGTTCCTGTTCTAGTTGTTTGCTTTTTTTTTTTTTTTTTTTTTTTTAGGTTCAGTTGTTCATAGTTGTGAGTTTGTTGTCATTTTACTGTTCATAGTTTTTGACCTTCTTTTTTTCCTTAGATAAGTCCCTTTAACATTTCATATAATGAGGGCTTGGTGATGATGAACTCTAACTTGACCTTATCTGGGAAGCACTTCATATGCCCTTCCATTCTAAACAACAGCTTTGTTGGCTAGAGGAATCTTGGATGTAGTAGGTCCTTACCTTTCATGACTGAATACTTCTTTCCAGCCCCTTCTTGCCTGCAAGATTTCTTTTGAGAAATCAGCTAACAGTCTTATGGGAACTCCTTTGTTGGTAACTGTCTCCTTTTCTCTTGCTGCTTTTAAGATTCTCTCTTTATCTTTATTCTTGGGTAATGTAATGATGATGTGCCTTGGTGTGTGCTTCCTTGGGTCCAACTTCTTTGGGACTCTCTGAGCTTCCTGGATCTCCAGGAAGTCTATTTTCTTCACCAGATTGGGGAAGTTCTCCTTCATTATATTTTCAGATAAGGTTTCAATTTCTTGCTCTTCCTCTTCTCCTTCTGGCACCCCCATGATTCGGATGCTGGAACGTTTAAAGTTGCCCCAGAGGTTCCTAAGCCTCTCCTCATTTTTTTGAATTCTTATTTCTTCATTCTCTCCTGGTTGAATGTTTATCTTTTCCTTCAGCTCCCAATTGTTTATTTGAGGCCCAGTTTTCTTCTCTTTACTGTTCATTCCTTGTACGTTTTTCTTTATTTCACTTTGTGTAGCCTTCACGCTTTCCTCCATTTTGTGACCATACTCAACCGATTCAGTGAGCATCCAGATTACCAGTGTTTTGAACTGTGCATCTGAGAGGTTGGCTATCAATTCATTGCTTAGTTCTGTTTTTGGAGCTTTGATCTGTTCTTTCATTTGGGCCATATTTCTTTGTCTCAGCGTGCCGGTTAAGTTGGGAAGGAAAGAGCCTGAGGTATTCGCCAGGATGGGGCAACCCAGGTCCCGGTGCTGTGATGCTCTGTGTAAGGGAGAGGTCCGAGAGGGATCAATGCCCATTTGCTCAGCTCTCGGCCAGCTTTTAGTCACTTCCCTCGCCCCAGTACCCACAAGTGAATTGGGCCCTTCTGGTGCTGATTCCCGGATGTGTAAGTTCTAGGACCCCGTGGGTCTCTCCAGTGGACTCTCCTGTGAAGCTTGGAGTTTCTCCCACCATCATGACCCCCACAGGATTTTACAGCCAGAGGTTTTGAGGCTTTCTCTTCCTACACTGGACCCCAGGATTGAGCAGTCTATCTCGCTCCTCAGCTGTTCCTCATGGTTTATCCGCACGCGAATGTGTGATCTGCCAGCGGCCCCCTTGCTGCATGTTGTCTCTGCCCTGGTTGCCCATCTCCACCCCTCCTACAGGTCTAGGTGAATGTTTCTTCTTTAGCTTCTTGGTTGTTGGACCTCCATACAGTTTGATTTTCTGGCAGTTCTGTTTTTTTTTTTAAATTTGTTGTTTTCTTTCTTTGGGTTGTGCGAGGAGGCAAAGTGTACCTACCTATGCCTCCATCTTGGCTGGAAGTCTGTTTTTTTCCCATTACCATTTATCCCCCTTATACCCTCCATCTTCCATTGCTTTTAGAACATACTCAACGTAACCTTCTACATTCTCAATAGTGTTGTCACCTAGGCTGTCTTCTTTGTGCTTCACCTAGTGTTTTGTGAAGTATTCCAAAGCAAATTACAGATATGATATTCCTCCCTTGAATATTTTAGTATGCATCTTTAAAAAAAGAGTAATTTTTCTATATAATCATATTATCATCATAGCTAATAAAAATATTTTCTCATGTCTAATTCTCAGTTTATATTCAAATTTCCCTAGGTGTTCCCCAAATATCTTTCACAGATGGTTTGTTTGACAAAGATTCAATCAAAGACCACGCATTATACTTGGTTGTTCTGTGTATAAAATTTCTTAATCTTGACTTCAGACCACCTAACCCATCTTTCACCACATCCTTCCTGAGGCCTTTGAGCTACCCAATCCCAACCTGCCATGGATTTGTAAACTTCTCTTTGTTTACAGTTGGCCTTTCCTCATCCCTGGAACTGAGAGCTTCTTCCTCCTCTAAAGTCGCTTCTGAGAGTACCACCCAACTCTGTGAAATTGGTTTTTTCTTTTTCCTCTGTGGGCTGAGGCATCATCTGTCCCTCCCTCTGAACTCATCCAGCTGACATCAGAGGTTTCTGCCTTTCTTTACAGTGCGGGCTTGCTGGCAGAGGGCAGGACACTGTCCTCCCTGCCTTGCTGTCCTCCCACTCCTGTGCCTAACACATGCTTGACATCTACAGGCAGCACAATAAAGAAACCCTTGATTACTCTTCAGCATCTTTAAAAAAAAAGATTTTATTTATTTATTTTTAGAGAGGGGAAAGGAGGGAGAAAGAGAGGGAGAGAAACATCAATGTGTGGTTGCCTTTCCTGCGCCCCCTACTGGAAACCTGGCCTGCAACCCAGGCATGTGCCCTGACTGGGAATTGATCCCGTGATCCTTGAAGGTTCACAGGCTGGCACTCAATCCACTGAGCCACACCAGCCAGAGCCTTCTGAGCACCTTTGATTCGGTCTTCCTTCACAGCCTGACTGCTGTGATAACTGGGGAGAAAGGTCCAGAATGGGCTTGGTGTGACTTGTTAGAAGGTTGCAATCCTGGAAACTGGTTCCCAGCCCAGCCCTGATTTCCTTCCTTTTGCTCTTAATTTCTTCCCTTCTCTGCGTACACACACTGAGACACAGGAAGTGGTTTCTGAGACACGAACCTAGGAACTTAAGGAGTGAGGCCCAGGCTAGGGGTGTGGAAATGTGCTGGTTGGTTCTGTCCTCGGCCTGTTCACACAACTCCTCCCCAGGACCACCGTGGCACAGGTGGGATGAAGGCAGCTTGAGTCTGCCACGTCTCCTTCCAGCCCTCACCTGGCTTTGCCCTGTGGGATGAGAAGAGCCATCTGCTTAGATGAGATGGGGATATATGCCTTGCCTTCCTTAAGGTCCATCTCCATGCCTCTATCACTGACAGGCTGATCCAGGAGTGGTGGGAACACAAGACCTTGTCAATCCTTTCCCAGAAGGAGGGTCCCCACTGGGAAGGATCACGATGGATCGGGTGAAAGGGCTAGGAGAAGGGGCTCTTCCCTTCTCAGACCACACTACTCAGGAGCCCTAGAAAATGGAGAAGGGACTAACAGAGTGGGACAGGAACACCCACTCTAGAATGTTGGGGGTCTCCCGGGATGTAAGACTGGGGACTTTCTGGAAGTGTTTATTCTGGCCCCACTCGATCTCAGGGAGCAAAAGCGCCCACTGCAGTTGGGGATGGAGTGGGACTTGAACAGAGATGGAGCCCTCAGAAGGGAGTGGGCCCTGGGTGGAGCACCAGGAGGCCTCTGACAGACCATCCGGTCACTTTGCTTCAGCTCTGCCACACGGTCAGGGCGCTCGTCCCTGCTTTGGCTCACACACGCCTCCTCTGCTGCCTCCTCTGCTTCCCTGAACTTCGGAGAAGCTGGCGTCCCGCGCTCCTACCCCATTTGGCACGGGGCTGGAGCGCCACAAGAGCCGTAGGCACCCTGAGGTCCGGTCCCTGGTGCCCTCCCTCGGCCGGGGGTGGGCGCTATCTTCCGAGTCGGGGCCCACGTGGCCCACGTGGCCCTGACCCAGCGTGGGGCTCGGCCCTCCCCTCGGCGGGCGGACGGGTGACTCAAGCCGCAGCTGCTCCCGCGTCACATGAGGGAGGCCGGCGGCCACTCGGCGGACGAGGGGGTTGGGGCTGAAGGCCGGGGCGGGGCCGCGCAGCGGGCGGGGCCGGAGCCGGGGGGCGCAGCTAAGAGAGACCCTGAGCGGCGGCAGGAGAGGAGCGTACAACCTCTAGAAGCTCAGGTGAGGCGGCAGGTCAGGACCAATGCTTGTCGGAGGGGTCGCTGGTAGCCCCCTCCTCCAGGTTTGTCCCGGTCTCGGAAGACCTGCCAAGTTTCTGCCGCTCCGAGGCCCTGGCAACTTTGCCACTTTGAAAAGTTTCAGAGGCCCCGACGGGGCGGGGTGCAGTGGGGGTGTCGGCCGCACCTTTTTCCGGGGGTAGTGTTAAGAGCGCAGGGAAAGTGACTGGCGGTCGGGCTAGGGCTGAGGACCGTTTTCGGAACGGGTCTGGCGGAGAGGAGGTGTTTAGAGCCTGGGGCTGGCGGCGGAGAGTGGGCGGCCGGCTCTCGCCCCTGCCCGCGCCCTCGGATCTGTCCCGGGCGGCGGGCGGAGGGTCAGGGCTGCGCGGCGGTCGCCCCCACCCTTTTCGGGCAGCCAGAAGAGGGGGCTGGGAGACTTGGATCTGGCCGCGGGTTTCCGGGTGGGCGGGGCCGGGAATGGGGGCCGAGCAGGGAAGGCTTCGAGGGCCGGCAGGGAGCCCGGAAACCAAGGGCCCCCTCGGCCGGTTCTAATACCCCTGCCCTCTCCTCTGCCCCAGGCGCGGCAGCCATGGCGGTGGAAGGCGGAATGAAATGTGTCAAGATCTTGCTCTACCTTTTTCTGCTGGCCTTTTGCGTGAGTGGGGTGGCGGCATGAAGTGGGAGCGCTGGCAGGGTGCGGGGAGACCTGGCTTGTAGTGTGAGGGCTAAGGAACGAAGAATGAAGGCAGCTGGAGACCAGATGTGGAAGGAAAGCCCGGGGAACGGCCAAAGACAGCACGGCCACCTCCTCCTCCAGCCTTCAAGGACCTCTGAGGCTGGTATGGATGAGGTTGGTCAGCCCGGATGCACAGCTCCCTCACCCTGACGCTTCCTGGCCCTTCCTGTCTGATGACCCAACCACTTGTGATAGGGACAGTGGGGCAACCAGCCAACGGCTGATGGCTATCGCTATCCCCCAGGGCTGCTCTGCTTCCCCCACCCTCTTCTGTCCTTTCACTCCTCTCCATCTCTTCACTCCTATTAAATCTTCCCTTTTCACTCCTTCCAGCTGCTTTCGGGTGAGGAAAGGCTCTGCTCACCTCACTGTGCTCCTGCCCCGGGCTCCTGCATTGAGAGGCCACTTTGTCCAGGGAGGGGCACACCACTCTTGCCTCCTTCTCCTCCCTCGCCTAAGGCCGGGCGCCTTCTCCAGCTAGGCCCAGGGAGCCCTGTTCACAGCTGATGGGGATGAGTTAGGCATGGAGGATAGTGAGAGGGCAATTCTGGGGGCCCATGAGGCCCCTAGGAAGCACTGCTCTTCGTTAGGAATATGAGCCCTGGGATCAGGGCTTTCTGGGAACTTATCTTTTGGCGTTTGATCAAACTGTGGACAAGGATGGGTCATCCTCCTCCCCCACAGTCAAATTTCCTGGAGGGGTGAGTATCCGTCTTTTCTGGATGGGGTTAATTCTGTTTCCTAGATACACCCCCTGCCTTCTGCCACGATGGGTTGTGTGTCTGGTCTAATCCTGACCTGCCCTCTTTGCAGGCCTGTGCAGTTGGACTGATCGCTGTGGGTATAGCAGCCCAGTATGTCCTGAGTCAGACTATCAGCCAGGGGGCCACTCCTGGCTCCATTTTGCTTGTGGTCATCATTGCAGTGGGAGCCTTCCTCTTCCTGGTGGCCATTGTGGGTTGCTGTGGGGCCTGCAAGGAGAACCACTGTCTTATGATCACGGTGAGTGGGCTGTGGCGCCACTGTGGGTGTGTGGGACTTCTGGAAGGTCACTTTTGTGGAGTGGGCTCAGGGGGGTGGGCGAAGTGAGGAGGGTAGGTGAGGAAAACGTTTGTGAGTGTTCCAGAGACTGTCTGGGCCACAGCAGGCCCCTCACACCCAGACTCCAAACCTGACTCTTGTCCTTTGTGCCTGCAGTTTGTCATCTTCCTCTCTCTTATCATGCTGGTGGAGGTGGCCGCAGCCATTGCTGGCTATGTATTTAGAGACAAGGTAAGCAGGGAATGAAGGGAGGGCCCTGCCTCAGAGGCCTGCTATTCTGGGTCTAAGGTTTCCTGAGTTCAGACCTCAAGTTCCCTACTTGCAGGTGGTGTCGGAGTTTAATGACGACTTCCGGCAGCAGATGAAGAATTATTCCAAACAGAACCACACAGCTTTCATTCTGGACAAGATGCAGGAAAACGTGAGTAGGGTTGCTGGGAGCAGGGGTAAGGGCGGGGGAAGAAGATTCTCATCTCCGTCATTGAAAGTTCACTTAACCACCTCCCTCGTATCTTTCTTCTCCCCCAGTTCAAGTGTTGTGGGGCAGCGAACTACACAGACTGGGAGAACATCCTTCTTGAGCCCAGGGGCCGTGTCCCTGACTCCTGCTGCATCAATGTCACTCATAACTGTGGGGTTAATTTCAAAGTGAAGGAAATCTATACCGAGGTAAGGAGGAGGCTGAGATGAGATAGCAGGGGATTCGGGAAACTTGGGAAGTGTTTCAAGAGGTGAGCAGAACAAGGGATGGAAGAGGAGAGGGTTGGCGCTCTGAAGTTGGAGATCAGGAATGGGGAGGGCATCTGAGAATGGTAGGGGGTGAAGTGAAAGGTGCAGAGGGTGGCGGAGAGACGGATGGACCAGGGGAGAGGGCGGGAAGTTTCTCATGATGCTCTTGCCCTGTGCACCTGCCCCCGGCTTCAGGGCTGTGTGGAGAAGATTGGGGTCTGGCTGAGGAGAAATGTGCTGGTGGTGGCTGCAGCAGCCCTGGGCATTGCCTTTGTGGAGGTGAGGAGCGTACTTGGGACTCATTCCAGGGCATTTGGGGAGTAGGGGCTATGGGAAGGAGAGTGCTGAGCAGGAGGTACTGGTCTGGGCAGGGGAGCCTGGGGTGTGTTTGGGGTCTCTTGGGTGGTTGGGGGTACCTTGTCTTTCTGACTCCTCTCAACCCCCCTTTCTCTCCTTCGAGGTCCTGGGAATTGTCTTTGCCTGCTGCCTTGTGAAGAGTATCCAAAGTGGCTATGAAGTGATGTAGAGGGTCTGGTCTCTTCAGCCCCTCTTTTAGGAGAGTGGGGTAGTATACTCCGCATTTTTCAATTAAACGGATTATTTTTTTCAGACCAAAAAGACCGTCTGTTTGTCTTAATGAGTGATACTTTATCCCTTTTCCCTCCTCATCCATGTTCCTGCACTCTGGGACCTTGCTCTCTTTGCACCTCCAGGAAAGAAAGGCCTATTTTGGGGGGTGTTTGGGAAAGGTGCTGGTTGGGCTGGCCTTGGAAGCGTGGTTGGGAGGACGCTGCGGCCTACTGCCCTCCCTCTTAGTCCTGTGCTGCCAGGCTCAGTGCTGCAACTTTCATGAAGCCATCTCCTGCAGAAATCAAGAGGATTCCTCACAAAGGTCCTCCCTGGGAGAGGCCAGTCCACATCTGCCATGGACGTCTTCTCCCTGGCCTTCTGTCCAACTCAGGGCCTGGCAATTTCCTCTTTCCCCCAGGGGATTGGCTCCTTTCAGGGTGGTGATGAAGATGCTCTGACCCCTGTGTGACCAGTGTCATTCTTCTTGACTTAGATGATAATAGAGAATTTAAGTGGGTACTGCCTTGTTTTCCCATGGAAACTACCCAGCCTAGCCCAGACTCCTTTTTACCACCTTCCCTTGCCCCTCAAGAAAAATTTAAGGGCTACTGCCCACTCCAAACACTTCATGAACTACAATATTACTCCACGTAGAAAATAAAGGAGACGTCCAATAGTGCCCTCTGGTGGCCATTTAGGTGCAGTTTAAAGATCATCTAGAGATGCAACAGCCCCCTTGCGTCCTCCAGTGGGTGCTAGTTGTTTTGCAGGCACCGAACAGGCGATCCTGGGCAGTAAGTCAGCCTAGGGTTGTTAGCACTTATGTGGAACACCTTCGTTTCTGCCCACCTACTTTTATTTTTAAAATACACATTGAGTGCCTATTTTGTGTCAGGCACCAGGCAGTGCCAGGGTTGGGGCAGGAGTAAAGTACTTGGTGGAAGGCTGCCTTCAGTAGACTGCCTGGGCAGGCTTGGGAAGGAACCAGGTGAGCACAGCATCCACGAGGCCAGCTGGCAGGTAGGAGGCTGGCAGCCAGAACAGTTTGGCGTCCCAGCCTGGGCTGTAGCGGCTTCTGGGGTGACGAGCAGTCAGGGCATGTTCCAGGCACTTGATCACCTTGGTCAGGTCTGGGTCAGAGAGCAGGTTCAGGACACGCTGCTGCACTTCCAGGTCTGCAACCCAGTGGGTGGCTGTAATCAGTGTCCCCGTCCCACTCCAGCCCATCTCGGGCCCTCCTCTGGGGCCTGGAGCGTGTTGCCCAGCCGAGGTGAGAGGGATCGTTAGTGCCATCCCTAGTTTGGGGAACGGACAGGCTCCACATGGCTTGGGTGTTCTATGGCATCCCATTCTCCCTCACCCACTCCCTGACTCTTGCCCACTTCCGCCCAGCAGGCTGGTGCAGGACCGACCTTTCTGGCACTCCCATTTCCCTCTGTATGGGCCCAGCTACTCACACTTGGTAAGGAAGTCATCCCCATAGAGTGCCTTTGTGGCAGGAGGCAGCCGTGCCCAGCAGGCTTGCAGGGAATTCCCCAAAGTCTCCACATTTGTCATAGGAGTTCGGAAGAAGCCAGGTTCCACGATGGAGACTTGTACTCCAAAAGGAGCCACGTCTCTCCTGGAGTGGGGGCAGAGGGTTGTTTCTGGGTTCTCGCCCTTGTATGGAGGAGATACTCAGGGACATGTCAGGGGAGAGTATGATGGGAAAGTTATCAGACCAGGGATAGGGGTCTTGATGATAAGATATACGGTTGTCCTCGGATTAGAGGCAAGTGGGGATGGGGGAGGGAGGTATTTTTGAAGTTTGTTTTCCTTTGTATTCTCTTATATGACCTAGAGCAGGCATCAGCAAACTTCTTAAAGGGCTAAGTAAAGATTTTGGGTATTGCAGGACTAAAAATTAATATTATGAAGGTACTTATATAACTATTTAAAAATGTCAAAACCATTTTTGGCTTATAGGTGGCTGGCCAGATCTGGCCCGAGAACCAGTTTGCCAACCCCAGACCTAGAAGAACCCCATTACTTAGCTCCCCAAACACAAGGTTAAGTCCTGAGTGTTGGATATGAAGGTGCAGGCTGGTATTTGCTGGGAGGAAAGTGGGGATACATCCAACCACTCCGGCACGGATGCAGAAATCCAAGTATAAAATATGTGTTCCATGATACCAACTGGAAAATTAAAAAACTGAGGGATAGGGACAAATGTCGATATTGAAATTATTTGCTGAGTGATGATGGTGACAAAGGCAGGCTTCCTTCAGAAAGTGGGCTTGGCTTGTGGGACTTGTAATTTTGCTCAGGATTCAGGACCTGCTCCTGTGTCGTCCTTGTCAAGCCTCCACAGTGATCTCATGGGACTTAGAACATTACTCTCTAAAGATGAGGGGCAGCAGAGCACAACGACCAGGCTCAGAAGGCAAGCAGATAGTTCCAGTAGACTTGGGTAAGTTATGCTATTCTAAGGGTGCTAATACTTACCTGATAAGGTTGCCAGGAGAATTAATACAAAGATGTTATGTAAAGGTACCAGCTCATTGTAATAGTTATTAATAATAACACTAATAGCCCAGGCTGGTGTGGCTCAGTGGATTGAGTGCTGGCCTGTGAAACAAAGGGTTGCTAGTTCGATTCCCAGTCAGGGCACATGCCTGGGTTGCGGGCCAGGCATGCGAGAGGCAACCACACATTAATGTTTCTCTCCCTTTCTTGGCCACTGTCTAAAAATAAATAAATAAATAAATAAAATGTTTTAAAAAACACTAATAATGATAGCAGGCTGCGGGGGGCATTTTCTATGTGCTAGGTACTGTTGGGGCTTTACATGTACCTCATTTCACTCACAATACCCATGAGGTAGGTCTTTTCATCCTGATTTAACAGATGAGGAATAAACTGGGGTAAAGAGAACTAAGCTGAGAGGCTGGGATTTGAAACCAGGCCTCTAGTCTAAACCATGCTGGGACCTAAACTCTCTCCTCTGAATATTCCATTACATGTTTTAGTCATCTCTGCAGGGTAGACACTAATTCTTTTGTGAGTGGCCTGGGAGCTTGGGGCCCGGCCCCCTTACCTTAGGCTGTCTGAGAAGGCCTCCACGCCAAACTTAGAGACACAGTAACCCCCACCGATTGCTGCCAGGCGACCAAAGACGCTGCTGATGTTGACCACCCGGCCCCGGGCCTGCTGTAGTAAAGGTAGCAGGGCAAGGGTGACCCTGATGGGACCCAGTGTGTTCACATCCAGCACCTGATGGAAGTCATCCTGTGTCAGCCACGGTGTGAGCCCAGCGATACCAACCATAGCAGCATTATTCACCAGACCAAAAAGCCCTGTGGGGAGGCGAGATGCAGAGGGCAGGTGAGGCATTCCAGTGGCCTCTCTCCTCCCTGGGAGGACCTGAGCACTTCCCCTCTTAGTCCCTCAGGCTTCCCACAGCCCCTGTGAGTGAATACTCTACACCATGTTCCCAGTGGCCCCAGCTGTACTCACCTGATTGCCCAACCTGTGTTTTTACCCATCTGGCTGCCCGCTGGACACTCTCGGGATTAGTGACATCCAGCAGGGTGGTGTGGAGGCGAGAGGAGGCTACCTGCTGTAGGTCCTCTGCCCCCGAGGGGGTCAGGCAGCTGGCCAGGACTCGGAAGCCTCTCTGGTCCAGCCTCAGTGCCAGAAGCCGCCCAAAGCCAGAGTCACAGCCGGTGATGAAGACAAAGGCATTGCTGACGGGCAGGCTCTGCCGGTCCCTGAGCAACCACAGCGCTGCCCAGAGTAAGACTCCCAGCAGCAGAGGCAGCCACATAGCTGGAACCCAGGTCATCTGCAGGTGGCAGCTGAGGCTGGGCAGGAAAACTTGTATAGTTTACTCTGGCCCTCAAACCCTCGCCCTTAACAGCCTCCCTAGCTGGAAGTCTCTGGTCTGAGCGTTTTGACAAATTATCTGCTTGTAGATAAAAGGCAAATTATGCCTTATCTAGGAAAAGCAAGGATCTGGGAAGACCCTGTTTGTGGGTAACTTAATGAAAACCAGATGAGCTGGGTCCCGTGTGCAACCCTGCTGTATGGGTGCGGCAGGATCTTGTTTGCTGTCCTTGGTTTGCTTTCTGGCTAAGCCGGGGACATCTGAATTCTCTCAGTGTAAGCTGGGCCTTGTTTAGGGGAACACACATGGGGCAAAGAGCCCTGCATTTCAGTCCTGGTGGCCCCAAACTTACTGTGTGAGCCGAGTGCCTTACTGCATCTCTGAACCTGTTTTCTCATCTGCCAAGTGGGACTAACACCCACCATGACCACCACGGAGTTGTGGAGGATCAAAGGGGAAAGTTTGTGAGGAAGCACGTTAAAAGCTTAAAGCTTCAAGTTACCCATACATGTAGTATCTTGCAACTCCTAGCACCCCAGCTCCCAGTACCCTGCTTACCTCCTCTCAGGAGAGTTAGCTGGTACTACAACACCAGACACTTCTTTTGCTTTGGTTGAGAAACTTTGCCTCCAGTCTTCCCAGGCGCTCACAGAGACTACAGCTAAGGCCAGAGTCCACAAAGGGTTGAGTAGGAACCGGAAGTATTAAGTGTTTGTGATGGGGCACTGTGGGGAGGAGCCAGGGAAGCGGAAGCCTGCTAGCTGAAGCCAGGGCTTGGCACAGAGCAGGCATATCCACAGCCCTTTCTTGGCTATCTTTTCCAGCTGACGTTCCTGACTACCTCTGACATGGACTCCCAGGAGGGACATACCAAGTTTGGCAGCTGCTCCTCCCTGTTGGTGACCTTGAACCTGTCCTTCCTCCTCCTTCCCAGCCCTGAAGTGCCCCCATGCCCAATAGTTAATCTCCCCTCTGGTTCAGACTCATGACATGGCTTAGCACCAGGCTGGGAGAGGTCATGAGCACGTGGAAAGGCAGAGCGCCAGAGCCAGGACTAGGCCTGCTCCCTGTCCTATTTCTCCTCTGGCCTCCCAGCCGGAAACTGAAGTCCTGAGTTAGGATGCTGGGGGCAGGGTCCCCACTGGGACCTTCTCTGGGGAGGTGTGGAAATCTCCCAACCTCTGCTTATCCAACAGGCACCTGTCCCAGGCCCGAGGAGAAGAGAGAGTTGGGATAGTTAGAGGAAGCTAGTTCCACCCCCTACCCAAAAGATGCCTGTTCCTTAGGGAAACAGTCTTTGGCCCTTCCATTCCCATCCGCCATGCTGAGCTAGTAGCTCCTGAAATGTACCAAAGAGAAATGGAAACTTGTTTTATTTGTGGCCTGTCAGCCTCCCTCCTGCCCCACGGAGGGGAGTGGAGGGGGTAGGAGCAGGGTAGAGGAGGAGGGAAGAGGGGCTAGGATGGGGCTGATTGCAGCTGTCCTTTGTAGACGTATTCCAGGGCGGTGGCAATGGTGCGCATGTCCAGCTCAATGCTCCGAGCCCAGTTCTCCACGTCCCCGATTTCCTGGGAAGGGGGGGGGGGAACAGGAGTCCACAAATCAGGGTGGGTAGAATGTGGCTCTAGTGGACAGATGGGGGCAATTTCCACTCACTCCCTACAAAGGGCTTTGCTTGGGCCCACCAACTACCTTTACCTCTTTCTCTAGCCTCTCTGATACCAGAGCCTTAAAAGGGATTTCTGAGGCCATGCCCACTTCTTCCTTAACCCCAGGCCTGAGGTGAGCCTACTGGAGGCAGTCAGTGGGGGCCCAGGATGGGGCTGGTGATGTAGGGAGCGCGGCCCACCTTGAGTGCCTGGTTGAAGTTCTCCACCATCCCGATCCATTGGCCCGTCTGCTTGGCAAACTGGGCAGCCTGGACTTGTAGGGTCTTCACTTCATGGTCCAGCTTTCTTTGGTTCATGTAGGCCTGGGCCACACTAGAGGTTGGAAGAGGGAGGAGGTCAACTCACCCAACCAGTGGGAGTGGTCTCCAGGACTGATATCCTACCGCACGAGTGGGAGGCCAGCCAGGGGCCAGGCTGGGGAAAACCTCGCGACTCTGACCATTATGGGATGCTAAATAGACTAGTACATGCAAGTGAACCCAGCTCCTTCCTCCCACTCCCAGGAGAGGCTAGCTGGGAGCTGACTAGAAACATACTATCTCCTATCCTTCAAAAGGAGTTCCTGAAGCTGGTTGCGGGAAGTTAGGGCTAATCTGGTAGGAGGATATCCCTGCATAAGAAGCTGGGAAGCAAAAAGCGGGGTGAGGAAGCTGGGAAAAACCAGTAGCAGGCCCACATCTGGCAGCAATTGGAAGCCCAGAAATCTTTGCAGAAAGTTGGAACTTGGGCCACTCCCTGATTCTGGGGTGGGATGGGAGAACAACCTCCTCCCCAGGAACTAAGGGTCAAGAGAGGATCCCCCAGGGACCACTTCTTGGCTCTCAGTCTCTCTCCCAACCCTTCTCCTTTTGCCCATACAAATGTATGAACACACAGGAGCACTTTCTCCCTTCCTTCTGCTCTATGCAATAGTTTTTCTTTTCTCCTCAATCAAGGTTCTGGCTGCAGTTACCATTACTGACTGCCATGAGGTTGGTATCCTCAACTCTCTGCCTGCCCCAATTTCCCCGAACCCTCCTGCAATAATTGTTCTCTTATTGGCTGGTGAATTTTTCATTCCCTACCCCAAAGCTCTAGGTCAGCTGGGAGACTCCACATCCGGTGCTCCCACCCACTGGAATCTGTGGGGGCTGGAGGGGGCACGGGGTTGGGGGGTGGAGAGAGTGGGAAGGACACCTGACAGGGGCTGAGATAGATGGGGCCTTTGTGTTCCTGTCTGGGGAATGAGAGGAGCCGTGGGCAGCAACACAAAACCCTCTCTAATCTGGTTTTGGCTTAGCTGCCCTCTAAACTGAAAGTGGGGTGGCCTCAATCAAAGGAAGAAGGGAGGGAGAAGCCTGGGCCAACCTTACAACAGAGCCAGGAGGCGCCAACATGGGAGGGAGGAGAGGGGGTAGACCCTGTCTCTTCTCTCCAGGGATAGCTGGGCCACAGTAGAGGATGGTGTAGGAACTGAAACAGCAAGAGCAGGGGGCTCCTGATGTTTCAAGAGTCCTCTGGGAGTTGCTGAAATACCAGTTTTTCCTGCTGATCTCCTGCTTTCCATCATTCATACTGAGTGATGGGAGAGGCACGGAGGGGAGGGAGATCAGGCCTCAACCACAGCTTTGTCTTCTTCTAATCTCCCCAGACATGAGTAATGAAGACAAAAGCCCCTACTTGGCTCACTTGGGTGACTCAATCTCTGGGTTCATAAGTATGCCATTCTACTTGCCCTATCAAATCATCATTTCTGCACTCTCTTTGGTCACTCAGGGTCAAGAGACAATATTCTTTGTTTCTTCCCAAGTTTTTGGTTGTTAATGGCATTCCCATTTAGGACTGGAGCATGAGGTGGTCCCTGGAGACCCAGCAGGAAGGGCAGAGACAGCCTGGCTCCGCTGTAGCTCCTGACACAGGTTCTGCCCTCACCCTCCCCAGCTGTGCCATCTCTTTCCTGCCAGCTGCTCCCCAGGCCTTCCAGGGGGTGGGAGGTGGAGAAGGAGAGGTGCTAAGCTGTGGTGAAGGAGGGTGCCCTCCCTCCCCCAAAGTGACAGCTGGACTTGGATGGGTGAGGGGAGGTGGGCAGATGGCATCAAGTTGTGAGCACCAGGGCAGTTATTGCGGGCAGGGGGAAATCTGGCTGCTTTCCAAGCCACTGCAGCTGCTCCTCCCTGCCCAATGTTATGGGTCAGAGCTGACTCAAGCTTCTCTCTATCAACTTAAACTGTGTGGGGAAGGGTAAGAGAATGGGTGGAACATCTCATCCCTTCAAGAGCAGTCTGCCTACTTGACCTTGCCTGTACCTAAACCTGGGGTGGGGGCAGCTGGTGTTAATGGGAAGAGGTTCATACCCCACATTGAGGTGATCCACCAAAGCTTCTGTCAGGCAGGTCGCTGCAGTGATAGCCTCTCTTCTCCTCTTTTCTGGGGAGGGTGGAGGGGGGAAAGGGATTGGAGTGGCGACTTGGTTTTTTAAGGGGTGATGCTTAAGTTTTCCCACCCATTCATGACTAGTCTGCTAGTTTTGGGAACATCCCAACTAATCTCAGAGTACAAGAGCTGAAAAGAGCTTTGCCAAACATAAACACCTTTCATTTTAGAGGTGAGGAAACTGGTACCCTGAGGGGGGAAGAGACTTTCCTAGGGACGCTAACGGGTCAGTGGCAGCGTCCAGGCCTCCAGGCCCCCGGGCACTCTTTCCCCATTTTCTCCGCCTAAAGGATTGGTAACTCTGGGATTCCAAGCCCAGGTTCAGGAAACAAGCGCCTCACGCCGTTTCCGTGGTTTCAGGCCTCCAAGAATGCCATCCTTGTGGGGTCCCCAACACCCTCCTCCCTTCAGGAGCGTCCCTTCCCACTTCCAGGAGGAGAGGCTGCCTGGACCAATCGGCACAGCGTCCCGTGAACAGGGGGTGGGACTAGGAGGTCAGGGAGCCTGAGCGTGGTGGGCGTTCCGAGGGGGGCGGGAGTGTTGCTAAAAGGACCAGAGCCCGTTGACACCAAAAAGACCCCCGCCCCTCGGTGCCCGTGCCCACTAGCCCGCGCTCTTCCCTGAATCTGGGTTGTAAATCGAGGTCCAGGCTCCGGGCTGAGGCTAGGCCGCGGCAGGAGAGAAAACGGCAGACACGATATCGGCTCACCCTGCAGCTCCTTGCGTTCATTCTGCTTAGCCTGGTGTTCCTTCAGGAGGCGAGACAGCATGGTCGCGACGGGCTGGGGGCTGGGGGGCGGGATACACCCGGGCCCCACCGAGTCCCGGAGCTGAAACACAGCCCTCGGCTCCTGCCGGACCAGGGTCACGTGACCACGCTGTCACGTGAGGTCCGGAACCTCCCCCGCTTTTGAGACAAGGTTAGCAGGTAGTGAAGATCCGGCCTGAGAAGAAAGGGAGTGGTAGAGGCTTGGGGGCAGGTGAGCTCTTATCTTTATTGAGGGTTCACTTTTTAGTGAGTGTTGGAAGAGGTTTTCTTTAGCACTCATACTGCAGAGATAATTTTATAATTTTTTGAAAAAGGTTTTATTTATTTTTAGAGAGGAAGGGAGGAAGAAGGAGGAGAGAAACATCTATGTGTGTTTGCCTCTAGCACGCCAGCCACTGGGGGCCTGGCCGGTAACCCAGGCGTGTGCTCTTACTGGGAATCAAACCAGGGAAACCTCTGATACACAGGCTGACATTCAATCCACTGAGCCACACCAGCGAGGGCTACAGAGACAATTTTAAACATCTCTTGAATCTCAGGCTCCCTGATGTGGGGCAGTGCGTGGCCGGTGGGAGGGAGGTTGGTGTTGCCAGGCTCTCCGTGACCGTTCGGTTGTTGCTGGAGCAGAGGCTATCTGAACTCATTGAAATTCTTTTCCTTCCTGGCCTTTCCCTCTTGGCAGCTGGGCCAGTTCTCAGTTGATTATCATCTCCCTACCCTCTTAGGACGGACTGCTTTCTTTTCTTTTCCAGCTCTCTCTCTTCTTACCACTGCCGAGGGCCCTCAGCGCTGGGCGATCTTTGTAGAGAAGCAGTATTTTAGGCACTTCAAGTGGCCTCCTAGGGAGCTTTGCTAATTGGACTGGCTATGTACGGAAATGTGCATGCAATTCCACCTCTCTCCTTCTGTGGTCAGGGAATGCAAACCCATTTCAGTCTTACCAGAAGAATAAGTGCTGCTGTCAAAG